TAGTAGTATCATGTAAATTCAACATCCACATGCTCTCTAATCTAGCAATTCCACTGTCAAATGCATGTTCTACAGAAATTCTTAACACGTGTACCAGGAGTTACGCACAGGAATAATCATATTAACATTTATAAACAACAAAACTGGAGATAATTCAAATGTACATATCAGGAAAAAGGGTAATAAATGATGGTATATTATATTCCAATAAAAAGAAATTCATCGGGATCATATCATGCACTTGGAGGACTCTTGGAAACATAAGGCGTTTATTAGTGAAGCTAGTCGAGACATCTAAAATAGCTTCATGATATTTTTTTAAAGAATTATTTTATTTAACTCTATTTATTTATTCATTTATTTTTAATTTGACCACTGAGTAATGGAGAGAGAGAGGGAAAGTGAAAAAGACAGCCACCAGGTGTGGGAGTTCAGTGCCCTAAATATTAGGGCTGGCCACCTGCCAGTCCCATGTCTCATGCTATTTCTTATTTTATTTTTTTCTCTTGTAAATATCACTTTATAATCCATATTCTTCAAACACTATTGCACTTGAACTTTCATAATTTGGTAAAACATTCATGAAACAATCTGCACACTGTTTAACGGACAAACATCATTTTAAGCAGACATGACCGTCCTAAAATGTTTTTTTCTCAGACCCACCCTCCACCATCTACTAACCACTTTCCCTCCTTACCGTTTCTAGCATCCAAACCCATCCTTTCCACCATTACATCTTCAGATCTCTCAACCGCAGGCATATAGTACAGATACTCAGTACAAATTGAGTGAGGGTATACAAGTGTATCTTTCAAAGTCTGGTTCACTTCGTTCAACAATAACTCTCCTATATTCATCGATTTTGAGTCAAATGATAGGATCTTATTGTTTCTTAAAGCTGTGTAATAGTCCATAGTACAACTGTGCCAGTTTTTTAACCCAGTCATCAGTTTTTGGACACTTAGGTTGGTACCATATTTTAACAGTTGTGAATAATGCTGCAATAAATATTGATGTGCAAGTATCTTTTCAATTGAGAGTTTTCCTATTCTTTGAATGAATACCAAGGATTGTGATTACTGGGTCTTATAGAAGTTCTACTTGTAGGTTTTTGAGAAACCTCCATACTGTTTTTCACAGAAGTCAAACCAATTTACATTCCCACCAAAAGAGAAAGAGGGTTCCCTTTTCACCACAAGCTCGCCAGAACTTGTCATTCTATTTTTTTGGTCCTAGCCATTCTAATTGTATCTAAATTTTAAATAGTATCTCTTTGTGATTTGTATTTGCATTTTCCTTATGACAGAGTCTTTCAACATTTTCTAATATTCCTTTTGGCCATTAATAAGTCTTTTTTGGAGTTGGCGAATTGACTATTCAATCAATTTGCCCAGTCTTAAAATTGTATCATTAAATTTTTTAGGGGTGAGCTGCTTGTATTCCCTATATATTCTAGATACCAATTGCTTGTCTAAGGAATAACTTGCAAATATTTTCTCCTATTCTAAGGGTTGCCTTTTCACACTAATTATTATTTTATTTTCTGAGAAGAAACTTTTTTAGCTTAATGTAATCATATTTGTCTATTTTGGGGACTATTGCCTGTGCTTTAGGTGTCTTATTTAAGAAATCTTTATCTACTCCAATATATTTAAGTTTAACCTGAATTTTCTACTAGTAGTTTTACAGTTTGAGGCTTTGTAATTAAATCTTTGATCCATTTCAAGTTGGCTATTAATGATGAGAGATAGGGATCCAATTTCATTTTTCTGCAGGTGGATATCCAATTCTTCCCATTCCATTTGCTGAAACATCTTTCATTTCTTCACTGCATTGTTTCGTATCCTTTGTCAAAGATCAATTGGCTATGTGATTTGGGGTTTATTTCTAGCTTCTCTATTCTGTTCCATTGATCTCTGTGTCTATTTTTGTGCTAGTACTATGGTGTATTGATTATCACTGCTTTGTAATATATTTTAAAATTAGGTAGTGAAATGCTTCTTATTTTATTTTTTTGGCACAGTATTGCCTTGGTGATATGGAATATTTTATTATTCCTGATAAGTTTTCTATGGGGTTGTCAGGACAGTCATGATGCATTTTTGCATAGAAAAACATAGAAAAAAAGAGCATGATTTTCCCAACAACCTAATAATAGATTTTTATATCTCTGTAGAGAATCTCTCAGGTAATTGGATCAGAACTGCATTGAACAGGTAAATTAACTTGGTAGAACTGGCAGTTTTAAAAGAATTATTTATTTTATTTTATTTTTTTTCCCAGAGAGAAACAGAGAGAGATAAAAGGAAAGTGAGAAACCAAGTAGCTTGATCCAGGACTCAAACTGCAGTTGACCATTTGGGAGTCCAGTGCCTTAACTACCACACCATCTGTCTGCCCCAAACTGACCAACTGTTTTGTTTTGTACTTAATTTATTTTCTCAGTTTTTCATAGTTTTCCTTGTGAAGGTATTTAATCTCTTTGGTTAAATTTATTCCTAGATATCTTATTTGATTTGTGGCTATAAGATTCTGTCTCAGTCTGTTCATTGTTGGCATTTAAAAATCCTATATATTTTTCTATAATGACTTTTTTCACTGCTGCTTAACTGAGTTTATTTATCACTTCTAGGCATTTTTGTTTGTGTGTGTGTGTGGGTGGGTGGATTCCTTTGTATTTTCTATGTATATAATCAAATAATCTGTAATTAGGGACAATTTAGCTTCCTCTTTTCCTATCTGAATGCCTTTTATTTTGCTCTCTTGTCTGATTGCATCAGCTAGGACCTCTAGCACTATGTTGAAAAGGAGTGGAAAAAGTGGTCAGCCTTGTCTTGTTGCAATTTTCAAAAGGAAGCCTTTTAGATTTTCTCCATTCAGCATGATGTTCACAATGGATCTATTGTATCTGGTTTTTATTATGCTAAGGAATACCCCTTTTATTCCTATTTTGCTGCGAGTCTTGATCATGAAGGGATGTATCTTATCCTATACTTTTTCTGCATCTGTAGATAATGATCATATAATTTTTATCTTTCTGTTAATGCCATGTTTTACATTTATTGTTTTACATATGTTGAACCACCCCTAGATAAAGCCTACCTGATCATGATGTATAATCTTCTTAATATGTTATTGGACTTGTTTTACTGATATCTTGTTAAAAATTTTTGCATCAGTATTTATCAGGGATATTGTTCTGTAGTTTTCTAATTTGTTATGTTCTGGTCTGGTTTGGGGATCAAGGTAATATAAGTTTCATAAAATGAGTTTGGGAGGATTCCTTCCTTCTGAATCTTTAAAATAGTTTAAGAAGAATTGGAGTTAGATCTTCTTTAAATGTTTTGTAGAATTCAGAACTGAAGCCATCTAGACCTGAGCTTTTAATTTCAATTTTAATTTCAATAGTTTGAAAGCCATTCAGGAGTAGATTGTTTGGTTTCCATGATTTTATGTATTTTCAAGGGCCCTTTCTGTGGTTGATTTCAAGTTAAACTCCCTTCTGGTCAGAGAAGATATTGGGTATAGGTTCTATTATTTTAAGTTTATATAGACTTGTTTTATGACCTATTAAATGGTCAATCTTTGAAAATGTTTCATGTAGAGATGAGAAGTGTACTCCATAGTTGCTGGATGGGATGCTCTATATATGTTTGTCAAGTCCATTTGATTTATGAACAAATAGTTCCCATCTCTTTATTTTTTGTCTAGATGACCTGTTCACTGGTGACAGTGGGGTACTGAAATCTCCAACAATTAGTGTGTTGTGCTCTTTGTCTTTCTTTAGATCTAGCAGTCATTCTTTTACATATTTGGGTGCCCTGGCATTGGGCACACAAATATTTATGATTTCTATTTTCTTGAAGAAAAGAGCTCAAAGGGCTTCCTCCCTGACAATGATACACTCCCACTCACAGTCAGTGCAGGGACAGGAACTGCCTCAGCAGTGATCATTCTCTAGTGTGGCTCAGGGGACAAGCCAGTCTGGTGTCCTCCCTGAGTTCTGTGTCTAGGGGCTGCACAGAGAGAAGGAGCAGAGATCAGAGGGACATGTAAGACCTGGATGATGGACAGGAATAGCAGCACCATCTTAAATGCCCAGGCCCTCAGAAAACTTGAGACTCTGCCCAGAGGCCTAGGACCAGAGGTGGGTGAGCCCATAGGCATGAACTGAACCAACAGATACCAAAATGCATCTAAGTTAGTATTTTGCTTTCGAAATCTTTCAGCACAATTTTTGACCTGTCTTTTCATTAGAAAATAGTTTATTACTACGAAGTAGTCCTCATGGTAAAATAGCAAACAAATCTATGAAAAGACACAAAGCCTAGCATATCCACATAACTGACAAAAACTTCTGGCAGAAAATATTAGCTGTCAACTCTAAAAAGTAAAACACTATATTCTTTAATTTTTATAACTTGTCAAGAAATGTTGTTTAGTCCCAGTACACATCAATATGTCTCTCTCCCTTTTTTTTTTCTTTTTGCCAGAGTGGGGCAAAGAAAAAAAGAGAGGGAGAAAGCACTGCCCAATGTGGTAGGCCAGTCTTCAATCTCTCTTCTATTTCTCCATACTGTCAGGATTTGGGGCTCACACCAGTATGTGCCAGGTGTGATTTCTGAAGAGCTGGGACCCCAACAGCATTATGAGCTATGGGGTCTGTCTCTTTCAGCCTCCAGGCCATCCCTCTTGAAATTTTCTACCCAGTTTCATTTGGGTATTTCTGGCGTACCAACAGGTCACGTGGTCTACCTTTCCAGCAACTTGTTTGGATACAAGGGGCCAAAGACCTGAAGTTACCAAGGCTAACAATGGTTTCTGATAGCTGTCTACTCGGTAAGGCAACTGCACCTGGTCATCATTTAAAACTGCTGTGTGTGTGTGTGCGTGTGTGTGTGTGTGTGTGTGTGTGTACACGCACACACATTCGAGAATTTCTATACTTAGCATATCACACTGATGGAAAAAATTCGAGGCTAATTTGTTGATTAAGAAGTCAGACCAGAATCTTTTAATAGGAAATTCACAGTCAGAGACTGTAATGGTGGCTGAATTAGACCAAAAGGGATACATTAATTCATAGAAGCATGACTGCACTGATTCGTACACGCTTTTTTCTTTCTGCCCACCATCCTAAGTTCATCCTGAAAAACATGGCACTCAAGAGCATTCTCCCAAGTTCCTGCTTTGCAGGTTGGTTTGTAAAAGCTCTAAGCAGCCGTTTTGCCTGTAGGAAAAAACAAAACCCTGCCTGGACTTCACAGAATCGGGAAGACGCGGCGAGATTAGGCGCTAGCACAAAAGCGGTACTTGTGCGCTTCAGTGATTCTTTCGTCCTCAGCCTGAGGGTGGGAGCGCTCTGGTTAGCGTATTTTGGAGGCACGGAGATCTTCGTAGAACTGCCCCCCTGTAACTCTTAGGCCTTAGAAAAGCAGGTGAAGGGCAGGACGATGAAATTCAAACTATGACTGCCAAGTAGCCGAGAAGCTGCCGGGAAACACCTCGCAAACCGTGCGGCCCCGGAGCCGCTGCTTCCCTTTTAACCTCCTGCGGTCCAGCCTCGCGCAGAAGCCCGCCGGAAATGCTCGTAGGAGCCCGCCGGAAGTGTAATATGACACCGCGCAGTCAGATCCCTCCGCGAGCGCGGCTTCGTCTCCAGGTGCGCAGTTTCCTTTTCTAGCACCAACTCGCCAGCGTCATCCGCGGTCGGCTCCGGCTTCCTTGGCCACCAGTACCGGCGATGCCGCCCGCCGGCGCTCTGGCCTAGGTCTGGCCTAGTCCCAGGAGGGCTGCCTGCGGCGCCGCCAGGACCCGCCCCCAGCCTGTACGCACTTCCTGCGACGCCGGCGGGGCACGGAGCGGCGCGGGAGCGAGTGCGGCGGCGTGGCTGCGGGCATAGATGCACTGGCGGTCATGCTGCGGCACCTCCTGACCCAGAACCATGCCCTGCGCAGGGAGAACAGCGAGCTCATGGAGCAGGTGCGGCAGCTGCTCTGTTTGAAAGCCAACCTGCCGGCCCAGGTGCGTCCTCCCGTTTGCCCGATGGCTTTTCCCGAAGTCTTCAACGGAGATCCTGCCTAGCTTTCTGACTTCTTGATACAGACGGCCTCATACGAGCTTCTTCGAGGCCAGATTCTCGAACGATACCCTGAAGGTGGCATTTTTAATCAGCCGCTTTAGCGAGGCGGCAGAACTGTGGGTAGTCCCCTATATCGAGAGGGAGAGCCCCCTCCTGGCTCAGTACGAAGACTTTGTGGACACGCTGAAGCACGCCTTTGGCAGGAACGGATAAAAACCAGCCTACCCCGACCACAGTGTGTGAGGACAGCCGCGCCTTAGTTTTGAGTGAACCTCTGTGCTCTTCTTGTCTTGGTCCTGCTTGGCTTTGTATCACAAATAACTCCCCAGTCTCAAACTCCTGGATTCCGACTCTTGCCTGGAATCTTGGATATTGCCTGTTCTCACCGATTCCAATGCTTTTGCACTGCCTGGGACCTGATAGAAATTAATTAGACCTATCAGAATCACGTCTCTGAAGACTATTTCTGACCCCCTTTGAAAATCAGCACTATCCTAGGGCAGGCGGGAAGTTGTCACACCCCTGAGACACTGATTAGATAACTCAGGCCTGGAAATTGCTTCAGAGTTAGTGTGCCCTGTGACCTCTTTTCTTCCCAACTCCTGCCCTCTCCCATTCCTGAATTCTAATACTTTGTTTTACACACCAAGTTTTTGTTTTGCGGATTTTTTTGATCAGAGAAATCCAATCACTGGACTCTACTTAGAAACTATTTTCTTTCAAGAGTCCGATGTATATCTTCCACTACCAACTGCCTAATACTACTGTACCTGGTGTTACACAAGAAACAGATAAGCCAAAATAAATGTCTTCAGAAACATCAGTATGTTTTGAGAAAATACTTTAAATGCATATTCTGGTGGCTGGTAAAATAATGCTGGACACATGTGTGTGCATGCCCCAAATCCCAAGAGAATGAAGGAGAAGAGATTGGGGTATAGCCATCCTCCCTAGGGGGTGATTTCTCGCTTTCCCTCTTATTCTCTCTCTCTCTCTCCTCTCCTCTCCCCTCCCCTCCCCTCTCAGGCAAGGCCATGGCACCCTGTGGCAAAAACCTTCAAAAAAAAAAAAATGCAGTTTAAAAAAAAATAAAAAGACTTGAGCAATGTTGATGTTTACAGCTGAAGATGGCATACTTAAATTTGCAGGTAACTTGTGACAAGCGTAATATTGGAATGGCACAGTCTTTTTTTTTTTTTTTCCTTTTTATGGAGAGGTGTTTGCTATAGCGGGTGTGTGCCCCCCAGGAAGACAGAAGCAGAGAGAAAGTGAGAAATCACCTCCTGGGGGGATGGCCTCACTGCAATCCCTTCTCCAGTCTCCTCTTGGGATCTTGGGCACGCACGCGCATGCGCCCAGTGTAAGTTTAAGCCACCGGATCCGGGACTCGAACCTCAGTTGACTACATGGGACTCCAGCGACATACCCACTAAGCTAACTGCTGGTCCCGGTGCAGTCTTTTGATCTGTGTCCAATTGACTTTATTCTCTTACACTAAATGGAATAATATTAGCTATTCTAGAGACCAGCAGTTGGCGTAATGGCTATGTCTCTGGACTCCCATGTAGTTGACCATGGTTTGAGTCCCGAACCCGGTGGCTTAAACTCACGCCGGGCGCATGTGCGTACGTGCCCAGGATCCCAAAAAGAGGAGAAAGGGATTGCAGCATGGCCATCCCCCGTGGGGGGTGATTTCTTACTTTCTCTCTGTCTCTTTCTGGCGAGCGCACGCGCCCTATAGCAAAAACCTCTTAAAAAATGTTAGCTATTCTTTCGGCTCCTGCTGATTGGTCTTTTCCAGGTATTGAATCTATATGTCACATTCCTACATTCCTTGGAAAGGGCAGAGACGTATTTTTTTCATAAGGTTTATGTCAGCAGTAAGTTCATCTTTTTTTTTTTTCTTTCTTTCTTTCCAGAACCTCCTGGATTTCAGAAGTATCTTCTGTTTTTGAGTCTTCACTAATGCCTGGGGAATGATCCCCAAAAAGCAATGATTCTTCCCATCTGTAGGCATTTTTAATGTGGAGCTTCTTAAACTTGCATACCAGTTCCAGGTTCTCCATGTCTGTGGCTTCTGATTGAAGCACATCCATGATGGGACTAGTGGACAGACGATGGGCCCATAGACCTGAGGACGCATAGGGGAGGATCCATCATATGAATAACCAGAACTATTTAAAAGATAATAAATTCCACCAACTTTGCTAAAGATAAAATTCCTAAGGAATATTTGTTGGCATTACAAATTCTATTTGTCGGCTTTACAAATTCTATTTGTCTCAGTGGCCTTAGAAACCAATTTATTAGATGTCTCTTTAATAAGGGAGTCAGAGGGGCCAGCAGGTGGTGTGGATAAGGGCGCTGGACACCCACATGGCCGACCGTGGTTCGAATCTTGGACCTGGTGGCTTGTTTTCTCACTCTCCCTCTCTCAGTCTCTCTCTGTGTCTTTCTGGTCAAATTTTTTTAAAAAATGAATGAATAAATAAAATTAAATAAATAATTCTTTTTAAAAATTAAGGGAGTCAGATTTGAAGTAGAAAGTCTTTTCTTGATGTAGACTCCTTGGCCTTTTAGGTCTTTTAAACCAGGTCTTTTGGACAGATAGGTCTTTCACACTCTTATCTTTGGGATACTTGTAGGCTCTGGCTGTTACTGAGAAGGGGAAACAGGGCTCATTGCCACAGTTGCTTATGGAAATGCATGTGCTTGGAAAACACTGTCCCCTCTGTTTTTGCTTTTTTTGCCTCAGTAGGTTTACAATATCTTCAGGTGATTATATTTTGCAAAACTGAGGAACTGATAAAAGATTTCAATCCTAGTGAAGAACCAGGTGAACTTAAGAGATCCATCCGATAAAACTGCAGTTATTTAGTTTTGCTTGAGTTTGGCTTTTATGACTACTTAATTTAGTGATCAAATCATGTGCCAGAAAATCAAGCAACTCCTTATAAATTAAACTAGAACATGAACTCTAGAACCAAGTGAGCATAATATTTTTTATATTGATTTTGCTTTTGTTCCCACTATTATGCAAGTTGTCTGGACAAAACTGTGGCTTATGGGGCACACACCTATGTCCGCAGAGTGATTTTGAAGCCCCCAAGGTCTGGGATTTGAACTGAGGTTGGCCATGTGGAGTTCAGCTGGCTCCAGAAATATCTTTAGGATATATTAATTTTTTTGCTAATTAATTAAAGTTAATAGGCTAGCAGAGGGACCAGCAGTTGATGTAATGTCTATATCACTGGATTCCCATATAGTCCACCACGGTTTGAGTCTTGGACCCAGGGGCTTAAACTCACACTGAAAGCTTTTGTGAGAGGAGAATGGGGAGAAGGGATTTCGGCATGGTAATGGGGCCGGGGGGGGGGATGTGGTAGTTGAGATTTCTCGCTTTCTGTCTTTCTGTTTCTCTGTCTTGCAGGTGGGCACACACACCCTGTAGCAAAAACCTCTCCAAAAAAAAAAGAAAAGAAAATAGGCTAGCAGAGCAGAGGACTACTTTTGCTAACTGTAGATAACCATTAATTCATGTAAAATTAAGTCTTTAGCCTTTCCCAGATCTTTTTCACATGGCCCATGGTCAATCATCTCTACAACTGTTCTCAGGCTTTAGGCAGCATCAGCATCACCTGGGGAGCTTGTTTAAAAAATTCTAATTGTTGGGCCCTAGCTCCAGAGTTTCAGAATGAGTAGATCCAGGCTGGGATTTGAGAATTAGCATCTTTAATTAAAATTCTTTGGTGTTGTGGGAACCAGCAGTTAGCGTAATGGCTATGTCGCTGGACTCCCATGTAGTCTACCATGGTTCGCGTCCCGGACCCGGTGGCTTAAAACTCACACTGGGCGCGTGTGCGTGCGTGCCCAAGATCCCTAGAGAAAAATGGAGGAGAAGGGATTGCAGCAAGACCATTCCCCCCGGGGGGTGATTTCTCGCTTTCTGTCTCTATGTCTCTCTCTGGCGAGCACACGTGCCCTATAGCAAAAATCTCTCCAAAAAAAAAAAAAAAATTCTTTGGTGTTGCTAATACTGCTAGAAATAAAGAAAAATTGTTTAATTTTCCCTGGGGCAAAGAAAGTGGACTTTTCTTCACACTGTTTTTTTTTCTTGGAGGATTTACTTTAGAAAACTTTATTGTAAGCTTTTTCTTTGTTTCTTTGAAATACATGTGAATACTTCTAAAAGAGAAATTAGCCTCTTGCTAATTTTACTACCCAGTAGTGTTTAGCTGTTCTTAGGATGAACTTTGTGACAATGGTGCTGTGAAGTCCTCTTGAAAACCAGTTAATTGTCTGAGAACATGTATGTGATGGGTTGCATCTGGCTTTGTGCTGGGTCTTTAAAAAGTACATGGCGGGGCCAGCAGGTGGCATAGTGGCTAAGGTGCTGGACTCTCATATGTATGACCATAGTTCAAGTCCCAGACCCAGTGGCTTGAAAATCATGCTGGGCCTGCCTGAGCGCATGCCCAAAATCCTGAGAGGAGAATGGAGAAGAAGAGATTGTGGCATGGTCATTCCCTCCAGGGGGTGTAGGGGGATAATTTCTCATTTTTGCTCTCACTGTTGCTCTCTGGCAAGCTCACACACTCTATGACAAAAACCTAAAACAAAAACAAAAACAGGGAACCAGCAGTTAGCATAATGGCTATGTCGCTGGATTCCCACATAGTTGACCGCGGTTCGCGTCCCGGACCTGGTGGCTTAGAACTCACGCTGGGCGCGTGTGCGTGCGTGCCCAGGATCCCGAGAGGAGAATGGAGGAGAAGGGATTGCGGCATGACCATCCCCCCTGGGGGGGTGATTTCTCGCTTTCTGTCTCTATGTCTCTCTGTCTGTCTGGCGAGCTCACGTGCCCTATAGCGAAAAGAAAAAAACATGGAAAGTATATATTATGAAATACCCATGTGGATTAAAAAAAAAATTGCACCAAAAGAAACTTATATTGTCATTCCATTTTCTATGAACCTTTGAAATCCCCTAATATAAAAGGATGAGATGTCTGTCTTTGCGACCATTTTAATGGATTGCTTGTGATTACCCATTATATTCTGGTTTAAGGTTTATCCAATAAAGAAAATGTTTTTCTTCATCCTCTACTTTTGTGGAGAGGTTTTTCTGGGTTGAAAAGAGATTTTTAAAGTTACCAGAGGGTGTATGCACTAGCCAGAGGGAGAGAGAGAAATCACCCTCCACAACTGTAGTCCTTTCTCTACCATCCTGTCAGGATTTGGGGTGCACACATGCATGTGTCTAGCGTGTTCTTCAAGCCTGTGGGGCTAAGATTCTAACCACAGTTGGCCATGTGGGATCTAGCTCCACCAACCAGTAATCCATGGGGCTGACCAAAGAGAGTTTGTGTGTATTTCCCCAACAGTGGTCAGGATCACACTTTGAGCATCACTTCATAACATGAACCTAAATGCAGAACTTTACATTTCTCTCTAGAATTTTACTTTGTTGGTTTTAGCCTGTCATTATAACCTGAAGTCTTTGAATCTTTGAAGTTTTAAATTTGATTGTTATCGTCCTCACTTTATATCACTAACAAAATTGAATTTGTTTCTTTTTCCCACTCATTAGTGTTTTTTTAGGGGCAGTGATGACTGCTGTAACATTCAATGATTACACTAGTAATCATTGGTCAACTATATATCACATAATGTGCAACTATATATCATGTAATGTGTTTGGCACTAGAGATACAATTATGAACAAGATGACCCTGACCTAGGTCGCTAACAGCTGTCAAAACAAACAGGCTATTGTAATGCAGGACAGGAGGGAGGTAGGAAGAGTGCTGCGGTTACACAAAGGAGTACACATAACCTAGACATACAGTGAGTTGGAGATGACTTCTTAAGAGAGTTGCCCAAGTTGATTTCTAAAGGGTGAGTAGAAATGAGATGAAAGGTGAGAAAAACGTTGATCCTGGCAAAAGAATAATAGCAGGACCAGCAGGTGGTGTCATGGCTAAAGTGCTGGATTCCTACATAGTAGACTGGATCAAGTTTTGGACCTAGCAGCTTGAAACAACACTGGGCACATGTGCATGTGTACCCAAAATCCTGAGAGAAAAATGGAGGAGAAGGGATTGAAGTGTGGCCATTCCCCCTGGGGAATGATTTCTCACTTTGTGTCTGTCTCCCTCTCTCAGGCAGGCACCTGGACCTATAGCACAAATCTCTCAAAAAAGAAAAAAAAATTGCATATTATTACATATTACATAATATGTTTAGGGAATTGAAAATAATTCAGTGTAGTTGGAACAGAGGAATGAAGAATGATTAGAAATGCTATTGGAGAGTAGAGAGCAGATTGCCAAGCTTTTAGTAAAATTTCAGTCATCTGCAAATCCATTACATTACACCATCAGCTGAATTATATTTCACTGTTTTATCGATGTGTACACTTTACCACACAACCAAATTACTAAAGATACATTAAGCATGTATCCAGTCTCCTGTGTTAATAATTCTACCAAAACAAATTATGTTAATTTGATAGGTATGTTTATAATTAAATTATGCTGTTTCCTGATAATCAGTACTTTCTCATCAAAATGCTCATAAATCATCTGCCTAATACTAAAAATACACATTTTTGTCATGCTGGTTGGTGGGTTTAAGGAATCTCTGATTTCTGGCCTATTTTTGTGGGTTTTTTTGTTTTATTGCTGTTGCTTTGTTTGTAATTTGTATTACACTACTAACAATTTCTTTTCAGTGCCTTGGAATGAATTCTTCTTGGCCTGAAGATGGTAATACACTATTTCCAAGAAGAAATGCTTTCTGACTTCTTTACTAATATTGGACTTAGATTCCCCCTGTCTTATAGATTTTCTGTTTCCCATTTTGAAGAGCATTTTCCTTGATGGAGCAACTATCAAAATAGTCAAAATTATCAAAATAGAAAAGAATTATGTCTGATAGCATCTGTTAGCTTATACATTAGACTTTTAATAACTGAAAGACAAACTTAGAAATTTTTTGTAAGTCCTGGTTCATATAAAATGCAATTCATGCATAATTTAGTCCTTTGTTTCCCAAATCTACCACAGCAGGAAGAGAGCTGCAACTGCAAAAACCACAAAGGGTTCCCTATCCCAGGAGCCCCTTCATATGATAATGCATATCCTAGAAAGCAAAGACCACAGTGCGCTTAACCAGGGACTACCAAATGACCAGCAAAGAATTCACTCCTTCACTAGTAG